TTATACTACTTCCAGGTTCAGTTCAAGCTACAGGCATACTCTAACTTTTTTGGTTAATGTTATGGTGCAGCACCGTCCACCTCTCATGATACTTCTCATTATTAGAATACAGAGAAGGAACTTTTCAATTCCCTGTCATCATCTGTCTCAGAAGAAAGGAGACTATCTTGGGGAATATTTCCAGAGGTACCAGAGCTTTTTTTTTTTTTTCTGTGTTTCTCTTCATACTTTTTTCTGTATGGAAGATAGTCCTCAGAAATTTAAGCACTCAAAACCAGACACAGAATGCATTCAGTGGTCTGTCCAGATCCCAGATTTTATTAACTTCACTTTGGCAATGCTTTCTGTGGCTGTATTTTGTGTGCATTTCAAACAGCTCTGTTGACACAATAAAGATGACGGCATGGCAGACAATCCTAGCCTCACTGCTTTTTGTACTACAGACTAGCAGAAATGCACATTACATCAGGCAACGTGGCCACGTGTTCTGTTGCTTCCTTTTCTGACTAATTAGCGCCAAATGATTGAGTGCTTAGGAAGCCCACTTGGCACTACAGAAATCTGGGCTTCAGTTTCTGAACAAATCAGAGAACACCCTTATTCCACTGATAAAGCCATGGTTTGTCTGCTTCTTCAGCTCTGCGCACTGCATGTGCAACTCCAATCTCTCTACATTCCCTCCCTCCTTAAAAAAAGCTACACAGCACAACAAGAAAAGGTTCAAAGCAGCCAGGCAGAATCAGGGACATGAATGACCTATAAGGAATAATTAACAGGCCTTCTCAGACTAGAAAAGAGATGACTTGGGAAGGAGTATAACAGAGGTCTATACACTGACACCGTTAGGTATAGAGGTTCTAAGGAAGACCAGGGATGTCCATAAAGAGAAACAGTTTCAGGAAAATGGATGAATGCCAAGAAACACTACCCAGTTTTTGAAGTCCTTAAATGATTCATTCCCCAAGAGTATCCTGGGAAGAATCAAATGTGCTTGCTCTGTTCCTATCCTGCTGTCTAGCTATCTGCTTTTGGCCAGTCCTGTGAGAACTACATTTCTAATACGGTTTCCAAATGCGTCTCAGACAGATGCTTACATGCAAAACAAGCCCAATAACTGCACTGCTGTCACAAGCGTAAAGGAGAGCTCACTCTCTCCACCTTGTTTTAAACCAAAGACTGGACTATACGGACTAATGGTCTGATCATGCATGGCTGAAGTTGCTCTCTGCTCTTCCATTCTTCCTGTCTAACACTGAATAGGTCACTGTTACGTTCCTTGCTCTCTGTAAACTGGAATAAAGTCACAATGCTCCTCTAAGTACATTGTGGATACCTATGAGCATACCCAAATACTTTTGCAGTGAGACCCTGAGAAGTACCTATAGAAGATACATCTGTACCACTGCCGTAGTATATAGTAAACCGTTTTCGAGCCAAAATGTAAGAGCAGCTCTGAAATCTTGAACCAAAAGGTCCAATATCAGCGCAAAACAAGACACTATACCAATCCTCAAAATATTATGTATAACCATTCCCCAGAAAATCTGAAGACCAATTTCTTCTCAGAATGCATTTCCCCTTTATGAAGTACAGTTTATTATTGCTGATCTGCACATTATGATGTTTATACTAGACAAATGATTACCCTTATTTTAACAGATGAGAATTCAATGTATTTAGAAAACAATATGCATATAAATAACTATGGTCCATGAAATTTGCAAAGAAGGTGGAGCACATTTCAAATTAAACAGCCTTAACAAAATCTCTGAACAAATCCCATACCAAATGTTCTTTTTATAATGGTTTTCAAAACAAGCACTAAATGCATTGGTGAGCAAAAATGCTGCAGAAATGCAGCAAGCCATACATGAGAAGCGATATAAAAATCAGCAGTGGTATTTCACATTCTGCAAAACTCAGACAGAAATACTAGTTTAAATGTAATAGCAAGTATCTAAGTAGACAGGCAATGACAATTGCTTTCTGCAGATTTTATTATATTGTTAAAATAAGGAAGATGTACAGGCAGCAATTTAACTTCAGTGCTACAGCTATCATTATGATGGAACTTAGAGATAAAAAGGAAAGAAAATTGTCACATATGCCATATATTTGGCTATGATTATATTCCAGCATGCCTAATGTATGGGGATTCATATTCAAGAAAAAATTCTCTCTGCTTTCAGGAATTTAGTACATTGCTGATTTCAAGCGTTCACCTTCAAAGAAAATGGCCATTTTCTTCAACAAATGGTTGTTTCTGAGTGGCAGACTGACAGAAAATGCACATACTAAGAGAAAGATCTTTAGCTCATATTTTAAATTGGAAAAGCGGCCACTGCAAGGGGTGTACAGTATGTCATTTATTCTGTTCTTGGTTTCCTGTTTATGCTGGATATTAACGATGAAACCAGGCAGTCTGAGGCCAAGCCATGGCTCAAATGCTTAGAGTGATCAAACCAATTTATTCTATTGGAGGAATACAGGAACATTGTCAGAGCATGCACGGAAACAATGAGGAAGTCTAAGGCCCACCTGGAATTAAATCTGTCAAGGGACTGAAAGACAACAATAAGCGTTTCTTCAAGTACAACAGCAGCAAATGGAAGACTACGAAAAATGTGGGGCCGCTGCTGAATGAGGTGGGTGCCCTGGTGATGGAGGATATGGAAAAGGCCGAGTTACTGAATGCCTTCTTTGCTTCAGTCTTCAGAGCTAAGGCTGGCCCTCAGGAATCCCAGATGCTGGAGGTAAGAGAGGAAGCCAGCCTAGAGAAAGGAAGACCTTTCCTTGGTTCAGGACAATTATATGAGAGATCATTTAAGCAATCTGTACACCCACAAATCTACAGGCCCCAATGGGATGCATCCAAGAGTGCTGAAGGAGCTGGCAGATGTCATTGCTGAGCCACTCTCCATCATCTTTGAAAGGTCCTGGAGGACAGGAGAGGTGCCCAAGGACTGGAGGAAAGCCATTGTCACTCCAATCTTCAAAAAGGGCAAGAAGGAGGGCCCAGGGAGCTACAGGCCAGTCATCCTCACCTCCATCCCGGGAAAGGTGATGGAGCAGCTCATTCTGAATGTCATCATTAAGCAAGTGGAGGAAAAGAAGGTTATCAGGAGTAGTCAGCATGGATTCACCAAGGGGAAATCGTGCTTGACCAATCTGACAGCTTTCTACGATGCCATGACTGGCTGGGTAGATGAGGGGAGAGCAGTGGATGTTGTCTACCTGGACTTCAGCAAGGCTTTCGACACTGTCTCCCATAACACCCTCATAGGCAAGCTCAGGAAGTGTGGGCTGGGTGAGTGGTCAGTGAGGTGGATTGAGAACTGGCTGAACGGCAGAACTCAGAGGGTTGTCATCAGTGGCGCTGAGTCTAGTTGGAAGACTGTAGCTAGTGGTGTCCCCCAGGGGTCAGTACTCGGCCCACTCTCATTCAACTCATTCATCAATGACCTGGATGAAGGGACAGAGCGTACCCTCAGCAAGTTTGCTGATGACACAAAACTAGGAGAACTGGCAGATATACCAGAAGGCTGTGCTGCCATTCAGCGAGACCTGGACAGGCTGGAGAGCTGG